AAATATTTATTTATATTTATCATAAGTATTACATAAAATATTTGGTCATAAAATATTTCAAATAAAGCTTTATATAAAATATGTATGAAATATCTATATAACATTTCAAAAAATGAATATTAATAAATATTTATCATAAATATTCTTTGCTGTCTGAGTAATTTATTTTCTTATGCGTTACGCGTTATGCAAGACTCTGTGCTCTCACCCTAAGAAAATAATTGCATTTTTTTAGCAGTTAAGAACGATAATAACGAGTGTTCGTTACTATACAGCGATATACATTAATTCAGTACATTAATGTATCGATGACTCGTGAGTATCGCGGGAATACAAACAATGGGGCACAACGGCGCGGCGCGACGCGGCGGCGCGCGATTCCGAGAGTCGGAAGTGAACGTTCCGGGGAGCGGATACAAGCATCAGGGGTTGGCGGGTGGTCTTCTCCTCTCTCTTTGTCTCTCTCTTTCTCTCCCGGTCAAACTCAAGTTGCCGGCCGGCCGGACAACGCTCGGTCGCTGGACAAAGCTCCTCTAATTGTCCCTATCAGCGACGAAGAATGGACCGCGGGCCTGCCTCTGACAATTTCATTTGTAATTTGCATAAGGCTTATTAAAATCACAATGAGCGCGAAGCCGCGCCGTTGCTGCGCCCGCGCCGCGCGGCGATGACCAACGATCGCGAGGATGATACCGACGTGACGTGTCTCTCGTAATCTTTTTCAGAACCGTTTATACCGGAGTGAAGGATATAATCGCATTACATCGAGCGACGTCGATTGGCGCGATGTTAACGCTTTTTTTTCGCAAGCTGTTCTCTTACCGTAATTTCGGAGCACGAAATTGAATTTATCTCACGAGAAGAAGCGAAAAGGCGATACAAATTCATCATAAATAGAATTTTCGAATTTTACAGTGACGACGCACCTTTTAAATAACTTTGCATTATTTATTTAACATTAAATTATTAACAATATCTGAAATGTATTTCCAAGAGTTAATTAAATATTACAATATTTATATAATGATAAATAAATTGCACAGAACGTGTCAATATTTATATAACAATAAATTCATTTGATATTAAATATATTTGCGAAAATAGGATTCTTTCTATTATTGAATTTGTAATGTATACATGTTTAATATTATAAATTATAAATAATATCTAAAATATATTTATAATATCATAATAATACATTTCTTTAATATTAAATGTACAATGGATTTCATTTTATTCTTCTCGTTTTGTAGTATGTATATTTTCGAGAAGTATTTACGGAAAAAAAAATCGTACATTAATTTTTTTCGTCAGTACACTATATAGGGAGAAAAGACTTGACGTTCACCGCCCTGGCAATTGCGATGTATTGGCAATACTGATTCATTCTGGTCTCCTCGCGTCTGCTTGCGTTTACAGTGCACCCTTGACGATGACGAATGTTTTCTTTTCACCCCGCGCGTATTGCAAAATTATTTTACACGCAGCTAAATATCCGCATTGTGCAATAAATGGCCTGCTGCTTGGCAAACAAAAGAACAAGGACGGCAGGGCGGATCTATACATCGAGGATGCGATACCTTTATTCCATATATGCCTACACGTTTCCCCAATGGCGGAAATAGCACTTACTTTGGTAAATATTTGACAGGCATTCGCTGCCGCAGTGAAACATTTCATAAAATACGTACTGTCGTACCTCTTTAAGTATATATTTCAACACGTACGAAAATTAGTGTGTGACGTGGATATCAATATCCTAACCTATACAATGACAAAACGTCACAGTAGGTCATCACTGGTAATCAAGCACTCTATGTTTTCTTTATTGTAAAATGTTTCATTTGAAATGTTAGCATGATAGTGATAATAATATCATGGTGCTCTATTATATTAATTTAATGTTGCAATAGGTGGACCAGTTAGCTGCAAGTAAAGGCCTTATACTGGCGGGTTATTATCTGGCCAACGAGAATATAAATGATTTAAGGTATGATATTTATGTGATATTTCTTTAATAATGTTTCTTCTTTTTCTTTGTGTTAAGTAATTATACTGACACATCGCTGTTCTCCATATAGTACAGACAGACCAGCCCATAGAATAGCGGATAAAATCGCAGAGAACTTCAATAGTGCACTGCTGGTAGTGGTATGTTTGCTAGTTTATTATATCAAAACGTTTTATATCTACTTCTATAAACTTTATTGGTTTTTGCTTTGTTGTCAGGTGGATAATCGAGAAGTGACTTTAGGTATGGGCTCGAGTCCATTGAGAATTTCACAATCTGTAGAAGGAAAATGGAAGCCAAAGGATAAGGCAAAGTAATTATACATTTTTAAGATTATTTGGAAAAATTATCATGACTTTTGAAAAATCAACTTGATAGAGTTCTTTCACCTGGGTATTAAATATCGTTCTTTTTGTTACAGCATAATTTATGAGGACGATATTGCACACACAGATGCAATGTATTCGTTACTGAAGGCAGAGGAGTATAGGAATCTGATTGATTTTGACAACCATCTCGATAACATCGCTCTTGATTGGCAAAATCAGAAATTAAATAAAATAATCGACGAGGCTGTCGATAAACACACATAAAAGATGACAATGCAACCATTCCACATACACACATACAGTTCATACAAAGATTGTTTTATTTATGTTGCACTCTATCTATATGTCATTCACTATATGCGAAGTAAAATGTACATACGCTATAGAGTTTATAAATGAATATCACTTGTTTTTAAATATTAGAACTTTACTTTTATCTTGCATTATCCTACAATCTCCATTCTTTAAATAAACCTTATATTATCCTTTTTAAGAGCTCTTACTTAGATTCAACGGCAGATTTTGTAAGTTTAATATTTACAGACATTGATTTAAAAAACGCAATTATTATCTTCTATGAATCTACTCAAACCTAGTATAGTTATATATATATTTTTTTTTTCTTCTCTCTCTCTCCATCTTATATATGTACACTTTTTTAAAGAATAATTTTATGAAAAATCTTCAAGAGTTCTATAAATCTGATTTAAAAAATTGTGCAAATAAATATTAATTGAATGAGAAAATAATAGGAGGGACTTGTATTACGCTTTATGAATGGTTTGAAATCTATATACATTGAAATATACATTGATTTCTACGTTTACAATTCTACGACAAAAACATTATTTACCGACCGGTTAAGACGTAGGCAGCTATTGAAGGAGATGGAGCTTCAATGTAAATAGTTTCTTAGAACGGTTTAGTTTCATATTTCTCCTTGTCTTCATTCGATTTTCAACTGACAAAGGAAGCTTTACTATCTGTACGTAAGTAAAATATTGTTTTATTGCAATTATTATGACAATTATTAAGATATTGTTGTGTGAACTTAACCTCAGTTTGGCAACATCTGACGTTCATAAAGAATCCTAAAAAATGTGATAAACGTTTAAAATATAGTTTAAAATAATCATTCTCTTCTGAGACACAGCAATAAAATATTTTAAACATAACATTGGAAAATAAGAGAAAATTATTTGTAGATTGTGAATATTTTGTGAAAAAAAATATAAATAAAAGATACGTTCTCATCGTGTAATTTATATTCATAATTTTTTATCAACACGGTATGCTATATTTTATGATAATATTATGATTGATTATATTATGTATATGAATGTATAATTCATTTCGATCTTAATGTATTTTTTCTTTTAAATGATTTTTTTCTGTTCATATATATTCATGTCCTTAAATGTTTTATTATTAATAGGGTAAGATAATGGAACATCGATGTAATTGTGGTAGTATACATGATGCAGAAATAGGAGTCAGTTATAATTTATTTGAAAAAATAGATAAAGACAGAGTGGAATGTCTAAATGAGCACGAGGAAGGCAGTGGTGCCAAAGTCTTTAAAACATGGGAAGAAAGAATGGATAGATCAGAGGTGAACCTCCTTGAGAAATTTTTGTTTTATAAATATCAAATATATCTTAACTATAAACTTAATAAATATATCTTAATTTTTATTAAGATTCTTTTATGGAATCTTTTCCTTTTCTTATTTCAGTTTGTTCAAAGTGATGTCGATGATGAGCTTCTGTTTAATATACCGTAAGTATTATATCTGATGCAGTTTTTATAGAAATGTATTTGTCTCTCATTGTATTTAATATTTTTTGCAGTTTCACAGGAGATGTAAAGTTAAAAGGCCTTATTGTAGTTGCAGATGAAGGCTATTCTCCCAAAATAGTGAAGTTGTGAGTGTAATTAAGATTGCTCAAAAATAAGAAAAATTATATTGATATTAAGACATAAAATTCAATAAACTTATGTATGTTAACAGATATAAAAACCGGCCGCACATGCTATTTGATCACTTAGGTAATAGCCCAGAGCAGGAATTTGAATTAATTACAGATGCATATGGAGTACATGAATATCCTATAAGGTAATAATTCAACTAACCGTTTTATATTTATATTTTTAGATTTAAGAATTTTTATAGCACACAATTGTGATTGTACAAATTATTTGTGTGAGATGTTAAAAATTCTTATAAAGATTAGGTACCATATAAATATTATTACAGAACGGTCAAGTTTTCATCAGTGCAACATTTAAGCCTTTACTTCAGTGGTATCGGAAACGCAGAACAAATTAAAATTTATTACATCGGTCTCAAAGGAGAATGGACTCCAGCTCGCAAACATGGTGTAACTATTTGTACATATGAAGCACGTCCTCTAATCAGTGACCATCCAACAGGCTTTAATGAAGTCGGTAGAATAGTTAAATGATATTTGGACTAAAATATTTGGACCTGTTTGTGAGATTCTGGTTTTTTAAGCACAGAAAACGGACATTGAGGATATGACTGTAAAATTGTGTACTATATTTTACTACGGATATTCAATGTGATTCTATGATTTTGAATAAAAATCCTGTAATAATAAGAAATTTTGGTAACAGCTTTATTTCTATTACACTTATATGTTTGTAGTCTTAATGGAATTATATTCTATGATAAGATGTACATTAAAGACCTTACTTACTTAACAAATACATATTGTACATATTTTCATCACATTACACCATTAGCATTCTTTCTGGCATGGTACACAGTTTAAATTTATCAAGAGAATATGAAATAACATTATATCTTATGTTTGGAACTTAATCTTTCCTACATCCATTTCCATTTCTGAGAATTGCATATCTAGATGAAAGTCAATTATTTGAAATAATTCCAGTGGTTGTGGTATCCTGCCAGTTTCGAGTTTTGACCAAACAGGAACATCTGAAATATATCATGGTACGCGTAACGATCAAGTATCTCACTTGATACTCGTATTGATAATGAGATAAATATATTTACCATTGAAATGTATCTCAAATGCACCTGACGAGACCAACTGGCCTTCTATGGCATTGCCAATCAGGAAAATCAATATACAGGAATAAAAACGATTATTTATACACCACTGCCATATCGATGTTAGGGGCAAACCAAAATTGGCTCCACTTACAATTAAAATAATTATAAGTATTTTTAACGTGCCCTAAATACAAATTTACATATTTATGAGATGTGTACAGAAGCATAGATCATAGAAAGATTAGGCAATAAATTTAATTACCAGTGCTTTCGCAATTAACATATGATAACCAGGTGGATTGAAGTTCTCGCCTTCGACATGAAGTTCTGGATATTTCTGCTTAAGAATATTTACGTATTGTTCGAAGGCTTTTCTATAACCGCACGAGTAGCTACAACAGAGAACGATAATTTTGTCTTAATTTAATAATAAGCCAGAGCCCAAAGCTCGACGATAAAATCAACACTATAATATTCAATGTCTTTAGATTAATGTGAGAAGCCTAACAAGTGTCTCTCATTTAAAGCACGCGTTCAATTTAATAGCTTACGACCGTCCATTATCTTATAGAACGGACACCTCCGATAGCCTCTGTAAAAATCAACAAGACGATCGTTAATCTTACCAATAAAAGAATCTCAGAGTCGGTCCGGTTTTTGCACCGAGTTTGGTTAACGGCGCCTCCTCGACGTTCCCATCTATGCTGTGCATCAGCATAACCGCAAGGATACACAGGATTAACCAGCGCATATTTATTGTGTTCTTGTCAATTCATTGAAGAATACAACTCCACAATCACGTCCACGCGACGACCAAACGCAACTGAACGCATCGAATTACTGCATGATACCTACTCTCTCTCCCTCTCTTTCTATCCTTCGCTCTCTAGTGTACACTACGTGCCTGTGTTATACGTGCGTAGTTGCGTATAGCGATTTGTTGAAAGCTGAGACTTATCACGAGCTCCCTGATTTCACAATTATCGTCGCAGCACGCTGATATTGCCAAATTAACTAATACTGTCAAATTTTAATTTGACCGATCCAAAAATGAATTTTCATCGTCTGTCATCGTCAAGAATCTGAATTATCATTCTCATTTCGACATTCTCGCTTGTGCGCATGCCTCGTTCGAGGGAGGTCGAAACGTCATTGGTTGCGTTCGGAAAATCATCGGGCAAGCTGTCGGTTGTCTATTCTCCACGTTGACGATATCCGAGTAGCGTATGGCCGGAATCAAACTACGCATTGAAGATACGCGTTCAAGTTGACAAAGCGGCTAGCCTGCTCGCCAAGCAAATGAACATAATTGGTTGTTACTTATAGATCCGGTAAGCACGCCTAGCTGCTTTGCCGTCTTGAACTCGTCCATTGAGATTGAAGATTGAAAAATTGAAATTTGATCAATCAAAACAAAAGGAGTTAAAACTTCTTTGTCCTCATAGGTCAGATTTCAATCTTAAATGCGTAGTCTGATTCTGGCCTATCACAACCTCTGATTCAGAGAGGATTCCTCGTTCTTTTGTTTTTTAGGACTGTTCTTTTTGGCTGAACTTTGGCTTCCTTTTCTCTCCAGGAGGAAAAAAGAGGAAGAAAGATGAACTGGTGCAAAAGTTCAGTCAAAAAGAACAGGCCTATTGTCTTGATGTCTCGGACATGCGAGATCTCCCGAGGGAATTCGCTCGGATGCTCCCGTTGCTTTTTATCGAAATGTATTTCAGCGATCTTTCGGGGATCCCGAAAAGCATAGGTAGAGTACTTGGATTCTGGCCATCAAAGTACTCTCGTGCATAGATGCTTTCCATTTAGATCCACTTTAATGCAAGATTAATTTTAATCGAGGCTCAATTTATTTTTTATTTTCTTCTAATTTTTTAAGGACCCCAAACGAGAATGGATTGAAATGGATTGAAATGGATTCAGATTTTCAGAAATATGGATTCACGAATGTTAAAATGAATGCTTTTCAATCCTGATTATCCTGAATGCATTTTTATTCATTTATAAGAATTGCATGGAGCATATCACGTAAGGTGAGCTATTGCGCATAATGGCGGTAGCAATACTGGAAATAACCAATGTGTTCCAACATGTACTTTCTGATGTATAATAGCGTTGGTTATACTGGAATAACCCAATCCAATGTTATCCAAATTTATTCTCCTATTGCGCATCCACGGGAATAGCTCATTAGGCCGGAATCAGACTACGCATTGAAGATTGAGGTTGAAGATTGAAGATTGAAATTTGACCAATAGGGACAAAGAAATTTTAGTTCCTTTCGTTTCGATTGGTCAAATTTGAATTTGTCAATCTTCAATCTCAATCTTCAATGCGTAGTCTGATTCCGGCCTTACTCTCTATGCCTTTCAATCTAAAAATAATATCAGCTTTTTCCGTGCATTATGAATACTGTTCAATTTAAAATTTTGAATAGAAAATGCAGTTTTTCAATCCAATTGCATCCAATTGCATCCAATTGAATCCAATTAAATCTAAAAAAAAGTATTCGCTATTTAAAATACGCATTTGAACAGAAAAAATTTCAATCCATTTTAATCCATTCTCGTTTACTGGGACCATGGCACAAAAAAGCTTAAGAGTTGATTTATAATAGGCCGTAATCTGTTAATTTTTTCCGTATTCTGTAAGAATTGACCAATCATAGTCGATTATTCTCCTCTCATTCGACTGTGATTGGTCAATTCTTACGGATTATGGAAAAAGTTAACAAATTATGGGTTATTATAAACCAACTTTAAAGGCGCGTTCACACCTTGACGGAAAAGCAGAAAGCGGAAAAGCAGCAGCCAATCAGAAATACTGGCGCTGGTATTCGACAATTTCGGCTTTTTGCATTACTTACTACCAGCGCGAGTTGTGATTGGCCAGTGCTTTTCCTCTTTTTGCTTTTCCATCAAGGTGTGAACGCGCCCTAAAAGCGTGCTTTTTGCTCTGAAATTCTATAATAAGGCTGCGTTCGGAAACATCACCCGAGTGCCGCCGTATATTGTTTTATCCTTGTTGTTCACCCAATGTTAAATAAAGATAAGATGATACACGAGGGCACTCGGGTGATGTTTCCGAACGCAGCCTATGCGTGACGTACAGTATAGTATGTTAACGCGCTAAGGCCCTGCGCACAATGGAGGAAATATTAGGAACAGGAATAGATATTAAGATTTCAACCTATCAGAAACCGTGTATTCCGGTGTAACTGGTATCTGATAGGTTAAAAATCTTAATATCTATTCCTGTTCCTAATATTTCCTCTATTGTGTGCAGGGCTTAACATCGTTGTAAGCGCGTTTTGAATACGGGCCATGGTGTATAAAATACAATATACATACAATATACATACAATATACATATTTTAATATTTTATATAAAAAAATCAACGTATATCAAATAAGATAAGAATTAAAAAAAAAATAAACAGTAAATTAAACCGAGATTAAAATTGATAAAGATGACACAAGTCAACACAAACATTATTCTATCTTTTTTGACATTCGATGAGCAATAAAGACAGAACGATACTTGTGTCATATTACCAAAAGGACCCCATATATTGCCTAATTTGTCCTGTCAGAGGACTAATATAAAAAACTAAAGACTCAAAACCATCGTGATAACTCAGATCGCACTAAAATTATAGAAGATCGCAAAGATTTTTCTTTCTGATCGCGCAATAGCTTCTTGCGACATCGGCGTTCCGAAATTCATCAAAAAAGACTGCTTCGATCTTCAGATGACGTGTACCGTTTGACAGGTTTTAATATTCCTATATAGGTTATGTGCTACAGGTAAACTCGAAGATCCAAGTCCGCAATGAGCGAGAAAAACATTAACTCCGCCTTAGTGCGGAGGGTCAACAAATTATTGGAATCCAGGGTGGAGCACGATAAGGTAGAAATTGTGAAAAGCGAACCGATTATATGGAAATCTTATTCTACAAATGACAGGGGGGTTGAGTACTTGGTACTTTAATAATTAGTCCTGTATTTTAGGACACGTTGGAAGCCTTGAAAGAGTTGTCAACGTTCTTCACTGAGAACACATTGAATTCTCGCCGAAACCTGCGTAGCAAAATAGAGAGAAGGAGTCTGACGATAAATGAAGAATTCTTGGCCACATTCAGGGAAGTAAAAGCTTCCTTGGACGATGTTTATCAAAATGTTCTAGCAATGAACACATCTGTGCAATCTATGACTAATCGCTTGCAAGCTACGAAGGCTCAAACTTCACAACTGATTGAGCAGACCTCAAAGCTTCAGAGTGAAAGGTAAAGATATTCGTATGTTTGTACAATGACACATAATCGCATTTCTAAGAAATTTATTATTTTATACCTTTATTCCCAGTCAAATTTTAACTATGCAGCAAGAAGTTGCAAGTGCATTTATCAGGAATTTCCAATTGACTCCGTCCGAATTAACCATACTGCATGGATCAGCCAGGGAGTCGCCTATAACGGAAGAATTTTTTTCTGTAGTTAGTAAAGTACAGGTTAGTAGGTACATTAAAAGCTTTTTAAACAATTAAAATTAAATGAAAATTAAATTGTAAAAATAAAAATTCAAAGATAATAAAATAGGAACTTATGAGTTGAGCTGTTCATGCTATTGTGTATTACAAACATGATAAATATATGATGCTTAAACATTGTTTTATTAGATTATGTGACCTTGTTTATTAATTTATTATTGTATATTTATCATATTTATAATAAACAATAGCACAGGAATAATCAGCTCGGCTATTTTATTTTCTTTCATAGCTATCTATTTTTCAATAACGATATTTATTTCTTCTGTATATTGTGATTTGAAATCCAGGATATTCATGGTAAATGTAGAGTACTGATGCAGTCCGGTTATCAAACATTGGCTCTGGATATCATGCAAAGAATGACGTTGTTACAAGAATCCGCGCTTGAGAGATTATATCGATGGACGCAAACTCAGTGTAAAAACATAGAAAACGAACGTTTAGCGCCGTTACTCATTAAAGCCATGAGTAAGCTACAAGATAGACCAGTGTTATTCAAGTAAGATGATTAACATTTGAATGCAGGTATTGCTTCTTTGAATCCGCTAATTTTATCATAATTAACATATGTTGCTAGGTACATTTTAGATGAATACTGTACAGCTAGAAGAACTGCCCTGGTGGGATCATTCATAGATGCGCTAACATTAGGAGAAAGTTTTGGAACACCTAATCCTATAGAAATGCATGCCAATGATCCTAAGCGATATGTCGGTGATATGCTTGCATGGCTGCATCAAGTAATTCCTGTAGAGAAAGAGAATATTCTTATATTAGTGAAAGGCTGTGATAAAACAGGTAAGAAGCTCTCTTTTTTTTTCCATCTTAAATCTTTGTTTAAATATACTGAATCTATATAATAAACCTATTTTGTTTAAATATATGAATTGCAGATGTGTCAGATCAGGTGAAACAAGCGTTAAGTAACATCACAGAAGGATTATGTCATCCTTTAAAATCAAGAATAGAGCATATTATATCTACAGAGGCGCCAGCGACAGTATTATATTCGATAACAACTCTAATTAGATTCTACCGCGCTATTACTGAACAAGTCATACCCGACAGTGTCTTAGATCAAACGTTGTTGGACTTATTAGCTTTGAGTGAAAAAAGTTTTCTAAGTAGACTGCAGAGAGAAACGAGAATCGCTCTCGGAGAGCGTGCAGAGCCTCCCGGTAGTGATTTAGTCCCTGCTCCGTCAGTCTCTAGATTATTGTCGCTTTTAAATGAAATATTATCTGTCGCTAGTATAGCTGAAGACAGAGAAAAAGATATGTTACAGGTATATTCAACAAGAATATTTTTCATCTTTTTGTTGGAAAAAATTTATTTTATGTCGTTTTAATGATTGACAGATTGTGTCATGCATCATCGATCCATTACTTCAAGAAGTTAATGAAACAGCATCCAGATTGCCAACAGTGGACATGGCCGTTTATCTTCTCAATTGTATGCATCAGATACAATCAACATTGGCATTGTACGAGTACATGGATCAGAGATTAGAAAGGTTACAGGTGATTGGTTAGTTTATACACACTAGAGTCAGACGTAATAGACTGAAATTGTTTCCACATTGCT